GGGGGGGGGGGACTTCTCAGTGACCAGTAAATAGGGGAGTAACACATAGTGACCACTGGCTGTACGCGGACAGTGTTCAGTCTTCTACAACACTCCTTTGTAAGCGTGTAAAACAAAGAAACACGCAGGACTCTGGCTGTGCTGGTGACAGACTGGGTGACTGACCAACTGCTATGGACAGAAGTCTGAAAAGTGTAGTCTGAGCACTGACATTGTACTTTCCTGGTTGTTCATGAGTCTAAATTGGGTTTTTTTGTTGTTGTTTTTTAAATATATCTTTATTGATTTCAGAGAGAGGAAAGGGGAGGGAGAGAGAGAAATAGAAATATCAATGATGAGAAAGTCATTGATTGAGCCCACAACCTGGGCATGTGCCCTGACCGGGAATCGAACCCTGATCGCCTGGATCCTAGGTCGATGCTCAACCGCTGAGCCATGCCCGGCCGGGCTAAATTGTTTTTTAAGAAGATATTTTATAGATATGTATTTTTTTGAGACATCTTGCGAAAAAAAACAATGATGAAGTTTGTCTTTTCTTTTAAAGGTATGCTATTAGTTTGCAAGGGCTGCTATAGCAAAGCACCACTGACTGGGCAGCTTCAGATTGCAGTTCTGAAGATCAGGGCGCCAGCTGGTTTGATCTCTCCTGAGGCTTCTCTCCTTGGCCTGTGGACAGCTGACTTTCTCCCTGTGTCTGTGTATCATCCCCCCTCTGTCCATGTCTGTGTCCACATTTCCTTTTCTAATGAGGACACCAGTCATGCTGGGATAGGGCCTACTCTAATGAATTCATTTTAACTTAACTACCTCTTTAAAGACCTTCATCTCCAGATACAGTCATTCTGAGGTAGTGGGGGCTAGGACTTCAACATAGAAATTTGGGAGGAGGGGATGTAGTTCTGCCCATAACAGTGTGGATGTTAACTATTTCATGTGTTGTGTAGGAAGGGTCAGGGAGTGTTATTGGGAGGATGTATATATCATACCAAGCTTGTGTCAGATATGCAGGAAGTCAACATCTCTTACAGTTGCAGGGTTTAGGCACCTGGGTGTGGTTACTTCTCTAAGCCATCAAAAGACTCCACCTTCCTTCTGTGAAATATAGTCCTGCGTTTAATGGGTAAAAATGTATAATTTACAAGAAATAGGAAGGCTGTAAGTACACAAGAAAGGGGGAGAAATGCAAACATTAGCAGCTACTCCTGCAATTAAGAATAGTGTTTATAGCAGTGCAGTTTACAATAGCTAAGATCTAGAAACAGCCCAAGTGCCCATCAGTAGACGAGTGGATAAAAAGCTGTGGGACATTTACACTGTGGAATACTATGCAGCTGTAAAGAAGAAGGATATCGTATCCTTTGGGACAACATAGATGGACCTGGGGAGTATTATGCTAAGCAAAATAAGCCAGGCAGGGAAAGACAAACGTCACATGATCTCACTCATATGTGGAATCTAAAGAACTTAATAAACTGATGAACAGAATAGACTCAATGACATGGAAGCAGGGATCAGACTGACGAATGTCAGAGGGATGGAGGAGGGCGGGTGGGTGGAGGGGGAGAGATTAACCAAAAATTTATATGCATATATGCACAACCCATGGACATGGACAATGATGGGGAGAGGGACTGGGGAGGAGGAAGGGACGGGGTGGAACGGGTCATTGGGGAGAAAAAGGGACATCTGTAATATTTTAAACAAAAATAAAA